GTCGAGGCTTGACGATGCAAACTACTTGTTTGTCGGTCTCCCCAATTCCTCCCTCCATAGACTGCAGATCATCCAGAACTCTGCAGCCCGTGTCCTCTCCCGCACCAGGCTCCATGACCCTTTCACCCCCATCCTCACCCGACTCCACTGGCTTCTCATCCCACAGAAGATACAGTTCAAGATCCTGGCCTCACCTTCAAAGCCCTCCACGGCCTTGCTTCCCCCTAGCTCTGTGACCTCCTAACCCCCTATAAGCCTGCCTGCTCCCTCCGCTCAGTGGGCTCCGGCCTGCTTCACGTCCCCTGCATCACCCACCCCACTATTGGCGGGCAGGCCTTCTGCCACTCTGCCCCCCTTTGGAAATCCATCCCACAGTCCCTCCGCCTCACCTCCTCCCTTGCCTCCTTCAAAACCCATCTCAAGACCCTCCTCTTCGACCATGCTTTTGATCACCCTGCTTCCCCCCCGCCCTCCCCCCACCCCAATCCCAGCCCCCAACTTGGCTCCGTAACACTGACTGTCCAGCACCTTGGGACGTCCGCCCAACATGAACAGCGTTTAACAAATGTAATTTTGTTGTTGTTGTTGATCAGGAGGCTGTGCTGATCAGCACTGATCAAAGCCAAGGAGCATTGCTGAGTGTGGAGTTCTGTAGCTCAGTGGTTAGAGTACTCGCCTCGAAAACGAGAGATCTGGTTTTGATTCCCTGCAGAGCGAAATGTTGGGCACGTTTCCTTACTCCACATGCCTCTGTTTAGCTAACAATAAGTAGGAAGCTGGTTGTTAGTCGATTGATGGATCGCTTTTCCGGGGGTAATAATTCCTTCAAAAAAAAACAATAAATTGGTTACCTCAATCCACGACTGGTTGTGAGACATTGCTGTATGCAATTGACTGCCGTGTTTCACCCAGAAAATATACAGTCAAATTCGCTTTACAGTATCTTCTGTAAAGCACTTTGAGACGTCTCAAAGAAGTGATAAAGCGCTACATCAAATGCAAGGAATATTATTATTATTATTACAGGTGAGCATTAGTTAAGGAACGACACTGCTAATTTGAGAAATAAATTTGTGGAGGTTCTCAATGCCAGTTGCTCATCCTAAGTATAATACAAGGAAGGAATGCATTAGGAAACTCTGCAAATAATTTTATCCACATATTCCAAATGGGAACTTACTGGTGATCCATATAAAAATTAGAATAACTTATTTCGACCTACAGTATTCATCAGCTTTGTTGTCGGGAACCTCACAATGACTGAAAACCTTCAGTGATTGATCAATAATCACAACCTTTTTCCACCTCTGCTAATAAAAACCCGTTCATTGCTTACACATGCTTACTGTAGCTTTTTCCAACACGCATTATCTTGCATTTATCTATATTAAAATACATCTGGTGCTACTTGGTCCATCTGCTCAGTTAGTCCAGATCTTCCTGAATTATGTATCCTTCTGTTATTATTCACCAGCCCACATAGTTTGGTATTACCAGCAAATGCTAAAAAATTACACGAAGTGCCCTTCTCCAGGTCATTTATAAACATTGTGAACAACAGGGAATTCAGAACAGCTCCCTGCAGAATTTCGCAAGTCCCTGGCCCAGACGGGACTTTTTCCATTTATCACCACCTTCTGCTTCCTGTTTCTAAGGCAGTTTTTAATCCAACTAATTATTCTGCCATTAAATCCACAAGCTTTCTTGAAAATTGTGAGACTTTATCAAATGGAGCCTGAATGTGTGGCTGGTAGACGTGCTGCATCACTGAATGGGAAGGTTCAGTTGAACCTCTAAGATATCCAGAGATAACAAACAGAGATTCTAACAGTAAGGTCAAGTCAACCTACACCTCTCTTACAGGTCTCCTAAGCACCATCTTAAGAAGAGCCCTGCACAGCTTCATGAACCAGTCACCCATCCACTGGTTGGCTATGAAGTGTGACATTTCTATTCCTGTTCCCTGACCACCAAAAACAAGCTCTATCCTATTGTGATCATTTTGGTGAGCATTGGAAGGCCAAAATTACCGCCAGCAATGGGAACAGTGACTCAACCCTGCTTCACCATAGACCGTATCAAGATTACAAATTAATAGTTAAAAGGCCGTACTCATCCTGGAACAAAAATCCCACTAACTATTCTATCAATAAAAGTCAGCTATTCAAATTCAGGGGTGAGAAGGTTGTTCAGTCTTTAACCTGTTGTTATGGATAAGTTGTTAAATACCTCAATATGGTAAATGTCACCAGTGATAACATCTTCCCCTTCCACATTGAGGAATAAACCCTCACTGGATCTAGTATTTACCAGTAAACAAAAACAGAAGTTGCTGGGAACACTCAGCATCTATGGACAAAGCAAAGTGAGTCAACATTTCGGGTCCACGACTCTTCATCAAGAACTGGGGCATGTTGGGAGGGAGAGGCTTTTAAGTGCTAACAGAGATGGGGGGAGGCAGCGCAAGGAAGACAACTAAGTCGATATGACTTGCTACTTACAACTTATCCTGTGAGGGACTTCAATCAAGATTTTTCGTAGCCAAAAGATGATTCTGGAAAATATCCCCGTTTCCAAATGCAATGGAGTAAAAATTCCAGAATATTTAGCTCATCTTCAACCCTCCATTATTCATCACGTTTAAACGAAAAATGTTATAGCATTTAAAAGGGAAACCTGATGAGTATTTACTACTACTACTAATAATAATCTTTGCTTTTGATATAGCACCTTATCACGTCTTCAAAGCGCTTCACAGAATATACTGTAAAGTGAATTGACTATAATTTGTGGGCAAAATGTGGCAGCCAATTGCACACAGCAGTGTCCCACAAACAGCCATAGATTGAATGACCAAATTTTTTTTAGTTTTAAAATTTTAAAATGTATTTATTTTGAAGGAATTATTACCCCTGGAAAAGAGATCCTCCAATTGACTAACAACTGGGTTCCTCCTTACTGCTAGGTAAACAGAGGCATGTGGAGAAAGAAACTTGCCCAACATTTCGCCCTGCCTGGGAATTGAACTCAGGTCCTATTGAAAAGGAATATAGTAATTTAAAAAGAGCGGGACTTTGGGATTAAAGTAGACAGAACTATAAAACTCTTACAGCCCAGACGAAGGCCTTTTGGTCCGTTATATCTGTAATGGCTTTTTAAAAGCAATCCATTCAATCCCATTAAATTGTCTTTTTCCCAACCCCCTGTTAATTACTCTTTTGTAGATATCTTAGTAGTTCTTTCTTGAAAGCTAATAGTGATCTTGCCTTGACCACCACCCCCTGAAGAGCATTCCACATCTTAAAAAAAATCCTCAGAACCTTTGTTCTCTTGATAATTATTTTAAATTGATGCCCTTTAGTCAGTGATGCAACGATGAATGGAAATATTTTCTCCCTATCATTTCTATCAAACCCCCTCATCATTTTAAAGACCTTTATGAGGTCTCCCCTTAACGTTTTCCATTCTGGTAAAAATTAGACCAGTTCCTCCAGTCTCTGCTCAAAGATCAAGCCAGTCATCCCTGGTATCATCCTAGTGAATCCCCTTTGCAACCTCTCTATGGCTCTGACATCCTTCTTAAAGTGGGGTGATCAAAACTGGACAATACTTTAACTGTGGCTTAACAAATGATTTATACAGGTTAACCATCACCTCTTTGGTTTTATATTCACAGCCCCTATTTATAAAACGTAGAATCCCATTTGTTTCCTTTACAGCTTTGTCCAGTTGCCTTCCCACCTTTAAAGATTTCTATATGTTAACCATTAGGGCTCTCTGATCTTCTTTTAAAATGTTGCTATTTATAGCTCCATTGGGGTAGCTGGCACTAGCAGAGTCTTGAGGATCCAAATGGCTGTCTTCTGTGTTGTACGCTTTATGATTCTATCTTATGTGGCCAGATTCTTTCCGCAGGAGACAATTCCATGATCAAGCAGCTTCAAAACCACTGTGGTTTTCAAAGTATTTGATCGCCACTATTTTTGCAACAGTATGTTGTTAATAATTTGTAGTTCACCACATGAAAAGTCTTGTGTTGATGATGCAGTTCTTCTAGATATTAAAGCATCTTATGCATTTTGACAAAAAAAAACTAAGGGCTCATAGTTATGAGCTTTTTGGGGGCCAGCCGGGTGTCTGACCCGTGCGGAAATCCATCACCATGCTTCAGATTATCCAAACCCTACTGAGAATTCCACAAGCATATGGCATCTTTACATGGACATTTCCCTGTGACTTGAATGGAATATGCACTTTCTATCCTTGGCGGGAAGCACTTTAATTAACTATTTCCACAGAGTTTTTGTGCAGATTGGCAAGAGCCAAGCGATTTGGGGATTCCAGAGTATATATTGGGGTCCTGCTGGAGTTTTAACTTGTTAAAATTGCCATTGAAACCACTGTCTGACAAGCTTCTTTCTGCTTGTCCTGTCAGGACCACCCTACCCGTTAGGGCTTTGGGTTGTGGAGTTAACTGGAGCAGAGTGGGAAGAATCCTTGCCCTGAATGACCAGTCTGCCCCTCCAAGTCCTGCCGATGGCTGGCCCGTCATCAGCAGTGCCCTGGAATACTGTAGCTCAGTACTGAGCTCAGTAGCCACCTGGCTCAGGAACCAGTCCCCGAGACCGCTACAAAAGATTGACTTGATTCCACCATTCTACTGGCAAGCATGTCACCTTGGAGCCAGTTCAGTCCAAACGAGATCCTGCTTACCTTGTCCCCTCCAGGAGGATAATCAATAATAGGGTCAATGAGCCTCACAACTAGTTGACTATGAGGTACATAATGGAAGACCTTTTATTGTACCAAACTGGATAAGTTGGCTGTTAAAACTGAGATGGTCTGTCTTTTAATCAAGGAGTTGGACTTTGGATAAAATTATTACAACAGCAACAATGTGCACTTACATACTACTCTCCACGTAGGATAGCGTCTTAGAGCGCTTAACAGTAGTGGAACCAGACTGTTAAATGCTGCTGATACACTGCAAAACAAATTACCTCTTCCTCCGCTTGGATGTGTCGAACTGCGTGAAGCAGGAGCTGTTTCCCTTCAAAAACAATCACGCAATTTGGGTCACAGCTGTGGTTCAGCAGGGACACGCTGTAAAGAGACAAGAATTGATGTTATGATGTTTCGCAATCCAAGCTGCACAAACTTTTGGTCAATCTACTTACAAATTACTTCATAAACTATTAAAAGTTCGATCCCAGTTTCTGTAAAGGTTTAAAAAATATGTATCGGTCAAATGTTGTATTAGCAATGCTATTAACCACAGACTCAACTTCCATTTCCAGGTCAAGGCTCACATTTTGTTTTTCCAGTCATAAAATTATCAGACAGTTAGTCACATAATAAATTGCCTCAGTGCAGCAGCTCTTGAGTTGGAATTTTCCTGTGATCCATCTCAATGCTCTACGTCACTTATGAAAATCATTCCACAGCATATGTTAGTACAGTTGGTGTTTTCAGGCACTGCAAGGTTAAAAAGAAGACTTCCTCGCAACAGTAAAACATGAGCTGGCGATGCTGGCACTGGCAGGAGTCAGGCAGATGGTGGTGGAAGTAACAGACTCCACACAATGCTGAAAAAGCAACCCACCAAAACCTCAGAGCGAATCCTGGAAATGGGAAACATCTAAAAAAAAGTTACACGATATGTTGGAATATAATTTAGTTTACACTTAGGAATGGCTGTGCATTGGAGCAATTCTTGCTTTGGAAAGTTCCTGTGCTTAAGATTGAGATCTAGGATGCTACTTCTGGGGAACGGGGCAGTTTTCCAGCATTGCAATAATAATAATAATGATGATGCTTACATTTATATAACGTCTTTCACATCAGGAGGATGTCTCAAAGATCTTCATTGGATTTACCGTAAAGTGGAGTAACGACTGTGTGTTTGTAGGCGAACGCAGCAGCCAATTTCCGCACAGTAATATCTCACAAACATAAAGTGATATGATCAATTTTATGATGGATTGTTAGCCAGGACATTGGGAGAAACTCACTTCTGTTTTTGAATAGGACCACAGGATCTTTAGTGTCCATCTGAAAAGGACCTTGATTTAATGTCTCATCTGAATGACGGCACCTCTGACAATGCAGACAATTATCTTGAAATTTAAGATCGTGGAAATACTTGGGCATAATGACATGGGCATCATAACAACTGTGGATGGTTCCTGGTCCTACAATTTCTCAAGATTCAACTAAAACTGCTCCACAAATCCTGTAGCACTACGTCCGTTATAAGCAGGTACGATGTGAAAGGTGCAAGGACACTGTTGAGGCCCAATGCTTTTGTGCTTCTGTGGCTAGAAAAGAAAGAAGGGAATTTAGCCTGTGGAGAGGAGCAATTCTGGGATGAATAGTTAGAATATTCTGAGGTTTAGCAATGTTTATGCTGAATATTTCCCTTGGAGACAAAGTGGGAGGGTGAAGCCTTCAACAGGGTGAGCGATGTGCGGTTTGAAGGAAGGAATGGGCTTGATTGCCTTCATGACCTCTCCGTGTCTCACGTGCTTTCATGCAATTCAATTCACAGACATAAAAGAAAAAAAAGGATGGTATCAAATTAAAAGTTAAGCTGCTTTTTAGCGACTTAGCTTTGCTGCATTGGAGTGACTTTCTCACTCAGCCTGGCATCTGCATGCAAGTCACACCCGAATATAGGTCACATCGCTTGTGAGTGCGGGTTACAAACTGCATTTTGTATTCTGTCAATTAAAATTGAAAGCCATCATTAATTATCTAAACTCTAACAGTAAAATCCATGTAATCCATTTAACTTCAGCTTAACACTTCTGAATTCATTAGAAGCACTATGTAAATACAAATTCCCTTTCCTCTTTGCATAATAGCAGTGATAACAAAGGGCTTTGGCGTGTGGCAACGTGGCTCGGGAAGCAAGGAGAGAATTTAGAACTTTAATTAAAAAAAAGAGGAATGATAATGGCAGGAGGCTGTAGGTGTCACCGATTTGCTGCACATTTTCCTCCACACTTTACATTCTCCTGATTTATGCAGCAAGCAGCGAACTGGGCGAGAGTGATAAGCTAATACACAGGTGTGTGCTATGCTGATCAAGCTGCACATCCTTAGCAATGTGCACTGCATACTGCTCTCTCTCCCCTTCCCCCACACCCTCATTCCCCCCATTTCCCCCCACCCCAATATGTTACCACCTCGATACACCCTGCTCGACTCCTTCATTGAAATCAACATGAACTCTTCAGTCAATGGAGCATGAGAGCTTCAGTAATGCATCCGCTGCCTTTAACCTAACCACTCCTCAGTGGCTCCTGCAGAGGCTTTTATATCAGCAAGGCTTTCATTTTGTTTTACGTTATTGAGAGCTTCCTTTCGTATATTTTGAAATAAGAACTCAAGCCCCCCCACCATGCCAATTTAGTCAATCCCAGTCGAAGCAGCTCCAGGGCCACTACAATTGTTTGCAATGGCCCAGAGATGGAGATGGAAAAAATTGCTAAGAATACATGTTCCTGTTGGCTCACTCCATTCAGACTCTTGCCTGAGCTGGATGGTGTAGCGTAGTGGGAGGGGGCGTGCTGGGTGGGGGTGTGCTGGATGGTGGTGGGGGTGGGGGGCATAGTGTGCAGATTCACGTTACTCGTCGGTGTCTGAACGACTGAAGCAATGGCTTGCTCTGCTGACTGAAGTTCACTTCTGTGTATCTGCAACATGTCAATAAAGATGGTCAAGTTCAGCTTATGGCCTTGCCACCAATTTTGTGCAAACTAGTGGAGAGAGCCCTTTGTACCGTGACCCCAGGCACCAAATACTGGCAGAGGCATGTGAATGGGATGACATTATGGTGCACACAGTTCATATGTCCTCCGTATGCCCTCACACAGCCAGTGTCAGTCCAGGCTGACATTCCTGTGCAGTGCTGGGGGTGTGCTGCATTGTCAGAGATTGATGAGACATTAAATCCAAGTGCTGTACAGGTGGCCGTTAAAGATCCGTGGAAAAGATAAGGGAGTTTCTCCTCGTGTCCTGGCCAACAATCCTCAAGATAAAATTGGTCACTCACTTCATGGCTGTTTGTTTCGTGTTTGTACTTTATAGGAATTGCCTCTGAAGTGCTTTTGAGACATTTCAACGATAGTGCGTCAAATCAAACGTGCAAAACACAACTTTAAAATAAATGTAGCCAGAAGTTAAATATATTGAAGTTTTAAAGATCTCATCAAGACGTTGTAAACTTCACTGCCTTGTAATTTGTTGTTGTCGTTGTTGAGCCAGCAGGTATATCACATCTCTGAAGGCCTGTTGAACTGCAGGAAATAACTTGTGTCCCATTGTAGGTATTCTGGGGTCCCCACTCATGCAGTATCTGATGTAATGTCTGAGGAAATCTCTTACACCGGATATTTCTCATTTCCTAGTCCATCGGAATCGAACATCAAATAGTAGCTGAACCATCACCATGTGTGCACATGGAATAATCTGATGCACTAAATATTTGATCAGGTGTGTTTTTTTCCAAAAAATTTCATTCCTCTGCCAACATTTTTTATCTTCTTTTTCAGACTGTAAATTAGGCCAGAATTTGCACACAGTGACTGTGAGGTGCTGGAGCAATAAGCAAAGCCCTCTAAGACCAGCTTCCCCCATAACCTCATTCAACATTGAGGGGTTTCATTCTGCTTTTCCACTTACCTTTGTTATATTTGGCTCGTTTCCTGCAGCTAGCTCTGCTCTGCAGGTTGAAACTGTTTCCAACTCAGCCAGCTGGACATATCGCTAAGGGTATGACGTGCAATCTTTCCAACAGTGATGGTAAGCCCTCATTTTAAGATTCTTGGGCGGCCTGAATGGTCAGTCTTGGGGGGGGGCAATTTCCAAAAGCCGTTAATGTGTGAAAACGGGCCTGGAGAGTGAAACCCACTGTTGTGTGGAGACAGGGCTTCATTTCACAACTTAGTTATTATATAAATAAAATGACCAGCTTTCAGATATCATTCAGGCCAGCTGAGGAGGCACATATATCTGTTTGCATATATTACAAATTAGACCCCACTGTTTAACGTGGAGTTTTATTTCACAATCTCAACCCCGAGAAGAAACAGAGGCCTTTTCTCACCACCGCAGACAAGGGTTATGGATAGACAAGATGATGGATGGACACAGCATCCCACGGCCATGGAGTGAGTGACCGATTTTATCTGGGGATTGTTGGCCAGGACACTGGGAGAAATTCCCTTCTCTTTTCAAATAATGTTGTGGGATCTTTAACGGTAACTGAACAGGCAGATGGGGCTTCTGTTTAATGTCCCGCCTGAAGGACGGCACCTCCAACAATACAACAACTCCCACCCCACCCCAGCATTGTTCTGGAGTATCATCTTACAGTCTTTGAGCTCCAAGTTTCGACAGGGACCTGGAAATTCACAGTGCCACAGAATTAGCAAGTGCTCGATCACAGGTTGGCCATATGGGGGGAGGGGTTGCTGATTCAATCTTGGTTACTCTCATGCACCTCCTGAGGTGATGCCCTTTCTCCACCACCATAAGCCAACACTATCAAAGGGGCATGGCACACAGTCTTTATAACCTACTCATCACCGTGTGCTTCGGCTTGTTCATAAATGGTCATGCTGACTAACAGAACAGCCTTGGCAGGAACCTGGGCTCCCATTGACCAATGCACCGGACAGAGACGGGCAGCATCAGTGAACAGGGTGGCTGCAACAACAACAACTTGTATTTTATAGCAACCTTCATGCCGACTGGTATGGGCACCATCGCTTGGTCAGTCCAGCAGGGTGGCTGCTCGAAACACAAATATCTTCACAGTTGGCAAAACGCCTCAGTGAGCGCTCGGAGACTGGGTCAATTCTTATTAAGTGGATAAAGTAAATGAAAAATGTCAAAAAACACACACACAACTTGCGCATGTGAGAGATTGGTGCGGACTCCACTCACTGTACCTGGGATAGAGGCCAACACCAACTTCTTGCATCTCCCCATCGCTGACGGTGAAACAGTTGCAAGTCACCTGCGTAAACAATCAAGAAACAAATCCCACATTATTCCAGATCCCCACAAGGAAAGGAACCCCCTCTCCCCGCCCACTTAGTGCGTGCCTGCACTCCTCCGCAGCTATAATATCCCACTGCAATGGGATTGAGTTCACACACTCACATTGCTTCCTTTTACACAGCTTGAAGGTTCCAATCACTTAGCAAAATATACAAAATAAAATCAGATAGACAGACAACACTGTGTGTTGCTGCACAGTGAATGGAAAGGATTTCATTTAGAGTTAACAGACTATATTATTTAGATTGCAACAATTTTGCTGAGAATTCCCCACTGAGGAATAGGCTGCTTTCACACATGGACTGGGTATACCTGAAGCAGAACAGAGAAGAAGCACAAATCCCTTCGTATCTCCCAAGTGCTGTATCTGCATAGGGCAGCGCGAGTGCAGCAGTGACGAATTCCTGAGGCCCATCCAGTATACTGGGCGGAGGCTGGGATTGAGTTTTTCAAATTAAATCCCTAATCTATATTAAATAAGAATTCTCGCATTTGGTACCTTTCAGGTCAATGTGACGTCTCAAAACGCTTCACGTGATTCACTATAAAGTCAGTGACTGTGCATTTTGTAGGTAAATACAGTAGCTAATAGTAGCACACAGCAAGATCCCATAAAACAGCCATGAACATTTGGGGGATCGTTGACCAGGAGACCATGAGAAATTCCTTAGTTTAGTGACTTTTATTCAGCATGACAACTTACAATTATAAAGCGCCCTCCACACAGGTATTATCTAAGAGCACTTAATAGTGGCGGAGCCTGACTCCGACCCGGTGAGGGGCTGTAACCACGGTCGAAGAGGAAAGTTTTCAGGCAGAACTTGAAAAAGGGGAGAGGGGGCAAGGCGGAGAGATTGAGGGAGAGTTTTCCAGAGTTTCAGGGCGTAATGGCTGAAAGCACGACCTCCGAGGGTCGGGCGGAGGGTGTGAGGTTCGAGCAGGAGGCTGGTGCCAGTTGAGCAGAGGTGCTGGGTGGTTGATTGGGGAGTGAGGAGGTCGAAGGGGTAGGGAGGTACCAGGGAGTGAAGGGATTTGAACACGAGTGTGAGGATCTTGAAGTTGATCCATTCGGTGATAGGGAGCCAGTGGAGCCTGGGCAGAACTGGTGAGATGTGGGTACGGAGTTTGGTCCAGGTTAGTATGAGGGTTGCAGAGTTCTGAATGAACTGGATCTTTTGAATGGTGGAGCTGGGGAGACCGGCGAGGAGTGCATTGGGGTAATCCAGGTGGGAGGTAACAAACGTATACATGAGGGTTTCGGCTGCATTTGGGGTAAGGTACTGTCAGAGGCGGGCAATGTGGTGGAGGTGGAAGAAGGCGGTCCTGGTTAGAGACTGGATTGGGGGAGGAAGGACAGCTGGAGGTCGAACCAGACCCCTAGATTTTGCACTGTCTGAGGGAGAGCCCAGGGAGGTTGAGGACTTCAGATCCACAGGAGTGAAGACATTGATGGGAGCCAAGGAGTATGGTTTCCGTCTTGTCTACATTCAGCTGCAGGAAGTTCACACTCATCCAGGCATTGATGTTTGCCAGACAAGCTGATAGAACATCAACAGACCTGGAGTTGGTACTGAAGGAGGCAAAGTAGATTTGTGTGTCATCTGCATACATGTGGAAGTTTACCCCGTGTCTATGGATGACATCTCCCAGAGGGAGCAGATATATAAGGAAAAGAACAGGCCAAGGATGGATCCCTGGGCTATCCTGCAGGTGACCGGGCGGGGGTCCGAGGGAAACCATTTGCCGAGATGAAATGGAGATGGTTGGTTAAGTAGGACTCGAACCATGTGAGTGCAGCCCACTAAGGTGGATGAGGGAGGAGAGGCGGTGGAGGAGGATAGCGTGGTCGACTGTGTCGAAGGCGACAGAGAGATCCAGGAGGACGAGGAGACAGAGGGAGCCCTGGTCACAGGTGGAGAGGACATCGTTTGTGACTCTGACAAGCGCTGTCTCTGTGTTGTGGGCAGGACAGATCAGATGTTAATCACCTGATGGGACAGAATAGAATTAGAGTATAAAAACACGACCACTGACTGAAGTTGGGGAAAGTGTAGTGAAACAGATTGTAGAATTGTACTTGGAGAGAGACTGAATTAAACATTGAAATACATCCAAAGTGTGGTGTATTTGTTTCCTTGTGGAATCATAAAAGCATCCCCGACAATGTACCACACCTCCAGCACTGCACTGGAGTGGACAAGTTCTGAGTTCCAAGTCCCAACTTGGGGCATGAACCTACAACCTTCTGACTCAGAGGTGAGAGCGCTATCAAGTGAACCAGGCTGACACACGTGTTGCCAGGGTGAGGGCAGAAGCAGTATAATTAGAGAGAGAGATAGAGATCCCACTATCAATTGCTATCGGGTGACCCGTGCCCAAAAGTTCATTGTTTCATCTTCTTTTGTTCAACTGATTCAAGTGAAGCCATACAAACCAACAAAACTGACTGCGTAGAAGCTCACTGGGTCTACAAGCTGTTTCTGAAGTTGTCAAGACAGTTTTCTGACTAAGCAAAAAAACTACACAATTGTTCAGACCTTTATTGGGCTTCGTACATTTTGCCTCATTGATCTAGGGTGGGTGCACTGGCCATTTGGTGAATTGTGTTTGCAAACCCCTAGAAACAGTAATAAAGCAATCTGACAAGTTAGTCTGAGCCGAGCTGAGAAGTATAACAATGTATACTTTGTAATACAATACAAATTTACATTTATATAACACCTTTCACATCGAAAGGACGCCTCAAAGAGGGGAAGGAGGGAGTGAGTCAGAGGGACTGTGGGATGGAGTTCCACAAAGCGGGGGCAGAATGGCTGACAGCCTGGCCCCTGATGATGGGGCGGATAGGGTGGGGAACGTAAAGCTGGTTGAGCGAAGGGAGGGTCTGGGTCAGTGTAATGAAATCCTTGCAAGAAAAAAATTACAATTAAATATCTTTTTCCCCTCTCATCCAAACAGAACAAAGTAACGTTCTGGCCAATGCCTCGAGGTGAGCTGGAATCCAAGTAAAATAAAACTGCTCACTGGTGTTCCAAACTTTCTCTCAACCCAGTCCAGGCCACCCACATATCGTGACATTTCTGTGGTCTAATACAGCAGTGCAGGAGAATGCTAACATAATAGCAGAGTGCAAGCTCCGTGGAACAAAGCAGCGTGCAATTTTTTTGGAAGTGATACTTTTCTGAAACTGTAGATTGCAATGCTGAGCCACCTGTCATAACAGCAGCATTAATCACGCAACTCCCAAACCAGCCGAGTTACATTTGAATGCATCCACCCCTGCACAAAGCTTCTCGAGGATGTCTAAATATAGGGCTTTTATGCCATACACATTAAGATTTGTTCCTTCAGTGGGATAAACAAAGGACTATTTCAATGCAATTAATGTTTCCCCAAGGGCAATTAATGGCAAATGCTCAGCATTTCACTCCTGCTTTGGGGACTTTGGTTTAAGGCCGCACTGTTTGTTGTCCAATTAGTGATTTTTTTTTTGAAAATTGCAAAATTAAAAAAAAATCAATTACACAATGTGTGTAAACTGCAATTAAATCAAACTGGACCAGACATAACAGTGCTGAATACAAGGTTGGTCAGCCAGGTTCAGTTGGTAGCACTCTCTCCTCTGGGTCAGACGTTTGTCTCAAGACCTCAATAATAGCAGAGACCCTCCTCTTCAACCGCGCCTTTGATCATCCTCATACCCTTACCCACCCTGGCCTCTACCCCTCCTCATCCCTCAGCTCAGGTCAAATCCCTGACTGTCCAATCCCTTGGGCAGTCCTCCCAACGTGAAAGGCGCTATAGAAATGTAATTTGTTTGTTTGTTTTGTAGGTTCAAGCAGGCCTCGCGTCAGGCATTGCAGTCTGACACTCCAGTGCAGTGCTGGGGGACCACTGCATTGACAGAGGTACCATCTTTTGGATCAGCTGTTACATTGAGGTCCCATCTCCCTATTCAGGTGGACAGTAAAAGATCCCATTGCAATTGGAAAAGAGAAGGGAGTTTCACCCTTGTTTCCTAGCCAACAATCCTCCAGACTTCATGGGACCTTGCTGGTGAATGAGTGCAGCATTTGTCTATAAATATAGTCACTACACTTAACAATAATTACTTGCCATTTCAGCATGATAAGATACAACAGAAATGCAATTTATTTTTCCTCTATCTTACGATGTGTAGCTCAGAGGGCTGTTTCAAGCCATCTGGCTGAGCTCAAGGATTCAATTTCATTCACCCACCATCCCCCCGCAACACCATGAGGCTTGTTTGTCAGAATCACACAAAACCGATATGAGTGGCTCCATGTTACTCATGACTTAAGCTACCAAGATATTAGACAAAATAAAGAACTGTAAAGAGCTCCTTTTAGCAGAAATGTTTATACAGTTTTCATGGAATTTGCAAACAGGATTACATTCAGCCAAATCAGTAGCAGGACCTTGATTTGCCAAGAAATTAAATTTTGCTTATATCAGGAATTTACCTCATCAGAAACTTTGCTTCAAACTGTTACTGGCTGAGCCTCATTCCCAGCGCTGTTACTAGCCAAGTCCCATTCCCAGGACTGGTACTAGCTGAACTCAGTCCTCAGGACTGTCAAGCAAATGTATACGCATTTCCAACTGGGATCATTGAACCATTAGCTGAAGCACAAGAACAGGAGCAACCATTTTTAGTTCAAGACAGCTCAAATTTTTTTTAATTCCGTGGCAATACAAGGCGGTGCTACCATTTGAGCCTGAGCACCTGTGTTTTGTCAATGCCACTCCATGTGGCATTTTGATCTACTGAGCTTTAATAGAAAACTTTTTAACAACAACCACAACAACTTACATTGATAAAGTGCCTTTCATGTTGGGAGGATGTCCCAAGGTGCTGGGCAGCCAAGCATTTGCACCCGAGCTGGAGGTTGGGATCAGGAGGGGTGGAGGGCAGGGAGGAGAGCATAGGGGGGT